ATAGAAAATGTTTACAAACAAAATTTTTTCGAAAATTTTTACATGAACATGATAAATAATAACTTATGATAATTTTATAACGATGACGATTATATGTATATATCCAACCTTCGAAATGATCTGATGAAAGAAATTCATGTTGTATTAAATAAAAATGTCGTGTTAACATTTCACCAAGTGCTTTATCAAAAATAATCTGTTGATCATGTGTTAACATATTCGTTGTGAGTAAATCATCATCAGCAGATGAAGATGATGATGATGACTAAAATAAAATCTGTAATATTTGTCGAATTAAGTTGAGAATTCTTACAAGAATCAGTTGTGTATCATTTTCTAATGGTGAAGGATATATATTGTCATGTGTTTCACTATCATCTAATTGGCTCATTGAACCCATAGAAATGAAGAATATCTGAAATAGAACATGTGCTATTCGAAAATGATATCACTGATAAAATTCGTTTTCCCAACGACAAAACATTCTAAATTCCATTTAAAACATACAAATTCTTATCATCCATTTTTGCTATGAGAAACAAATCGAATCATATTTCTATAGTCGTTAGATTATGAACTGAGAAGTTAAGTTGCTTCATTACAGAGATATCCATCACGGTTGAAAATCTACCGTGCGGCGATAGCCAGAAAAATGCTACCGGGCCGTTGCCGCGATGGCAATTTAAAAAGTCTTTGGACTTTTAAGACTGTGACCGGTTTAAACTAGAGTAGCTCTTGCTAATCAATAAGATTTGTCGAGCCTTATCGTGCGGTATATATTAACACCGAAATTTTGGATAAATTCCCGAGTTTTTGAAATTCCTTTCATAGAAAAGCTGCCGCATCGCGATGGATACATCTGCTTCATTAATGGAAATGATTTTAAAACTACCCATTTCTAATATATCGGGATTATTAATATTGATCAATACCACAAATAATTAGTCATACAAGCATCTTACATTATTCTATTCATATTTGTAAGTCTGTCGGACAAAAACATGATTCAATTTTCGTTCAGGAAACATCAATTTTGAATAGTTCGATAGTTTTCATCTAAACATATTTAATTATCAAAAAGAAAAGAAAAATGAGAAGGTCAAAATCTATATATTTTTTTATTAAGCTAGAAAAGGAAAAACAAATCACAACTTCACTTGGACATTTTCATTCTGTTGGTCTAGTACTCGAAGAGCATTTTCAAATCGTTTTTGTACAATATTCGATCCAAAAAATGTGACTATTTCATGAACAGGTGGTCCTTGTAAACATCCACATAGAACTAATCTCCATATACGAAATATTTGTTTATTAGTAATTTTATTTGGTCGATATTCTTCAACAAATTTCTTTACATCATCATGTGTAAAATGAATTTCATTGAGTTTTAATAAAGTTTGTTTAATAACAAATTTAAAATGTTCAGTATTATCAATAAAATCTTTTTTTATTTCTGGTTCTTTCCATAAATATTCATATAAGTTATTTGTAAATAATTCATCAAGTAAATTAATACGTATATCAAGCATATTTAAACATTTTTCAAGATAATCATTTTGTAATTGTATTGATGTTGAAGAATTTTTTTCTGGATAATAATGAAGAACCTTTTGACGAAGTTCTTCAATTATTTGTTGACGACTTTCAACCGATTTATCATATTCACGTTTAAAATGTGCTCGTTGACATAGCGATAATTTTTTAAAATCAACGATAGCTGCATGTCTACTAAATAATTTTATATTAAATAATGAGATCATTTCATCAAGATCTGTTCCAATTATTTTATCATTATCAGTAAAACCACCACCACCACAAAGTGTAATAAAATTTAATATAGCATTTGGATAATAACCTTTTTGACGATAATAATCAATTTCAATTGGATTAATAGCATTTTCTTTATCACGTTTAGATAATTTTCTTCCACGTTCACGTTCAAGTAATGGTAAATGACCATAGATAGGTGATTGCCAATCGAAAGCTTTATAAAGAAGAAGATGTTTTGATGTTGATGTTTGCCATTCATGACCACGTAAAACATGAGTTATATCCATTAAATGATCATCAATAACATTTGCTAAATGATATGTTGGATAACCATCAGATTTAAGTAGAATAAAATCACCTTCGGTTGCATACGGATTATGTTCATGATGACCATAGACAAGATCATCATAACTTTGAGTTCCAGATTTATCAGTTGGTAATGAAAAACGAATAACATGTGGAAGACCTTGTTGAAGATATTCGTCTAAAGAATAATACATATATCTTTCATTCGAGTTATTTAAATCATACTTTGTTGTTTTTCTGTTAATTGTTTACATCGTCCATCATATCTATATGGTTGTGAACGACGTTTACAGTCGTGTCTTAAAAGCATTAATCTATCAGTTGTACAAAAACATCGATAGACATGTGGTTGATTTTGATGATTTAATTTTCCAAATAATTTATTTAAATATTTTCGATATATATCAACACGTTCAGATTGTATAACAGGTGGTTCATCGGGTTTTAAACGTGTCCATTTAAGTATAGATTGTATTTGTTCAATAGCACCGGGTACTGTACGTTCTCGATCTGTATCTTCAATACGTAAAAGAAATTTTCCATTAAATGATTTTGTATAGAGATAATTATATAGAGCTGTACGAAGACCACCAAAATGAAGTTGTCCAGTGGGTGAAGGAGCAAAACGAACACGAACAGAAGACATTTTGTTTATTGTTTTGATGATGAGGGTGAGGGTGATGATGATGACGAAGCTGCAGTAAGACGTTGAATTTTTTTCATACAACTACGAAAATCTTGCATTTCTTTTGAACATTCACGCCAGTCCTTTTTCTCAATATAACATTCTTGTAGTTTTTCGTGAAATTGATAACAACCGGTTTTACGAATTGCTGATGTAACGTGATCTTCGTCGTCGTCTTTATTATTATCTGATGTTGATTTTTGTTCAGATTTATCTTTCGATGGTGGGTCAAGAACAATAGTTGGCATGGAAAAAAATTTACTTTAGTTTAATACAATCAAACTATTACAAAGTAATATCGAACGAAATTTTCTCTTTTGTTTTCATCGATTCGTTAAAAATAAATTTATTAAAATAAATTTTATTATATATACGAAAA